ATGGATACAGGTGGATACCAGGTGGATACCAGGTGGATAAAGGTGGATACCAGGTGGATACCAGGTGGATACCAGGCGGATACAGGTGGATACCAGGTGGATACAGGTGGATACCAGATGAATACCAGGTGGATACCAGGTGGATACCAGGCGGATACAGGTGGATACCAGGTGGATACAGGCGAATACAGGTGGATACCAGGTGGTTACAGGTGGAAACAGGTGGATACAAGGTGGATACAGGTGGATACCAGGTGGATACAGGTGGATACCAGGTGGATACCAGGTGGATACCAGGTGGCTACAGGTGGATACCAGGTGGATACAGGTGGATACCAGGTGGATAAAGGTGGATACCAGGTGGATACAGGTGGATACCAGGTGGATACAGGTGGATACCAGATGAATACCAGGTGGATACCAGGCGGATACAGGTGGATACCAGGTGGATACAGGCGAATACAGGTGGATACCAGGTGGATACAGGTGGAAACAGGTGGATACAAGGTGGATACAGGTGGATACCAGGTGGATAAAGGTGGATATCAGATGAATACCAGGTGGATACCAGGTGGATAAAGGTGGATACCAGGTGGATACAGGTGGATAAAGGTGGATACCAGGTGGATACCAGGTGGATACAGGTGGATACCAGGTGGATACAGGTGGATACAGGTGGATCCAGGTGGATACAGGTGGATACCAGGTGGATACAGGTGGATACCAGGTGGATAAAGGTGGATACCAGGTGGATAAAGGTGGATACCAGGTGGATACAGGTGGATACCAGGTGGATACCAGGTGGATACCAGGTGGCTACAGGTGGATACCAGGTGGATACAGGTGGATACCAGGGGGATAAAGGTGGATACCAGGTGGATACAGGTGGATACCAGGTGGATAAAGGTGGATACCAGGTGGATACAGGTGGATACCAGGTGGATTAGTGACATATTTCTTCCATTTGTTTTATCCATTGTCTCCTTTGTCTTTCTTGTTTTTTCCCTTCTGGTTCCAGTCAAGAATGATTTTTTGTTTTCTTGAGTCTTCCATTAACCTTATTCCAGAATGTCATTCTTCTTTTTGCAATAACACTCAGGATTTTAGAGCATTTTAGTCTCAGCTCTTCAGAGCGCTGGTGTGGATACCAGTTATCCTTTTATACCAGTTATCCTTTTATACCAGTTATCCTTTTATACCAGTGATCCTTTTATACCAGTAATCCTTTTATACCAGTGATCCTTTTATAAAAGTGATCCTTTTATACCAGTGATCCTTTTATACCAGTGATCCTTTTATAAAAGTGATCCTTTTATACCAGTAATCCTTTTATACCAGTGATCCTTTTATAAAAGTGATCCTTTTATACCAGTGATCCTTTTATACCAGTAATCCTTTTATACCAGTGATCCTTTTATAAAAGTGATCCTTTTATACCAGTGATCCTTTTATACCAGTGATCCTTTTATACCAGTGATCCTTTTATACCAGTTATCCTTTTATACCAGTTATCCTTTTATACCAGTGATCCTTTTATACCAGTTATCCTTTTATACCAGTGATCCTTTTATACCAGTGATCCTTTTATACCAGTGATCCTTTTATACCAGTTATCCTTTTATACCAGTGATCCTTTTATACCAGTTATCCTTTTATACCAGTGATCCTTTTATACCAGTGATCCTTTTATACCAGTTATCCTTTTATACCAGTGATCCTTTTATACCAGTGATCCTTTTATACCAGTGATCCTTTTATACCAGTGATCCTTTTATACCAGTTATCCTTTTATACCATCCATCCATCCATTTTCTACCCTTTAATCCATTTCTGGGTCAGGGGGGTGACAGTCAGAGATGCCACCCAAGTCTCATAGCACCAGCCCCTCACTGACCCTCTGCAGGTGGTGAGTCCACAGGAGGACGGCTGCTCTCTGAGTGTGAGCATAGCCTTGATCTTTCAGTGGGGGCTTTGGGCAAAGTGGGGTTAAGTGTCTTGCCCAAGGACACAACGACAGCAGTCATCAGTGGGAATCGGTGGAGAAGGTGCAGAGGTGGGAATTGAACCCACGACCTTCTAGCCTTAAGGCCAATGCTCTACCAACTGAGCTACTGTCGCCCCAGTGATCCTTTTATACCAGTTATCCTTTTATACCAGTTATCCTTTTATACCAGTTATCCTTTTATACCAGTGATCCTTTTATACCAGTGATCCTTTTATACCAGTTATCCTTTTATACCAGTGATCCTTTTATACCAGTGATCCTTTTCAGTATTGGGTTTTGAAATGCCTCCAGCCTCAGCTTACTGTCCTTCTTGATGACCCATGTCTTTAGTCCATTCAGCAGGACTCAGACCCATGTCTCTGGTCCAGGACTCAGACCCATGTCTCTGATCCAGGACTCAGACCCATGTCTCTGATCCAGGACTCAGACCCATGTCTCTGGTCCAGCAGGACGCTGAGCACCAAGGACAGAGCCATTTTTGTTTCTAGTTTGTGTTCTGGTGTGACCAGAGATCAAACGATCTCTGGTCACACCAGAAGAGTCATGTTCTTTCTTTGTCTGTGCTTCCACTTTCTTCTTACACCTGGTCTGATGTAGCACTAGTCCACGTGATGTAGAAAAGATTTATTTGCAGGAATCAGAAATGTATTCATCCGCTTTTCCAGCTGCATCCTCTGAAGCACCTTTGATGGTTCCTTTGATGGTTCCTTTGGTGGTTCCTTTGATGGTTCCTTTGATGGTTCCTTCGATAGTTCCTTCGGTGGTTCCTTTGATGGTTCCTTTGATGATTCCTTCGATAGTTCCTTCGATAGTTCCTTCAGTGGTTCCTTTGATGGTTCCTTTGATGGTTCCTTTGATGGTTCCTTCGGTGGTTCCTTTGGTGGTTCCTTTGGTGGTTCCTTTGGTGGTTCCTTTGATGATTCCTTCGATAGTTCCTTCGATAGTTCCTTCAGTGGTTCCTTCGGTGGTTCCTTAGGTGGTTCCTTTGATGGTTCCTTCGGTGGTTCCTTTGGTGGTTCCTTTGGTGGTTCCTTTGATGGTTCCTTCGGTGGTTCCTTAGGTGGTTCCTTTGATGGTTCCTTCGGTGGTTCCTTTGATGGTTCCTTCGGTGGTTCCTTAGGTGGTTCCTTTGATGGTTCCTTTGATGGTTCCTTTGGTGGTTCCTTCGGTGGTTCCTTCGGTGGTTCCTTTGGTGGTTTCTTCGATGGTTCCTTTGATGGTTCCTTTGATGGTTCCTTCGATGGTTCCTTTGAAGGTTCCTTTGATGGTTCCTTTGATGGTTCCTTCGGTGGTTTCTTTAATGGTTCCTTTGATGGTTCCTTCGGTGGTTCCTTTGAAGGTTCCTTTGATGGTTCCTTCGATAGTTCCTTTGATGGTTCCTTCGAAGGAACCTTCAATGATTCCTTCGAAGGAACCTTCGATGATTCCTTTGATGGTTCCTTCGTTGGTTCCTTTGATGGTTCCTTCGATGGTTCCTTAGGTGGTTCCTTTGATGGTTCCTTTGATGGTTCCTTCGAAGGAACCTTCGATGATTCCTTCGAAGGAACCTTCGATGATTCCTTTGATGGTTCCTTCGTTGGTTCCTTTGATGGTTCCTTCGGTGGTTCCTTTGATGGTTCCTTCGTTGGTTCCTTTGATGGTTCCTTCGGTGGTTCCTTTGATGGTTCCTTTGATGGTTCCTTAGGTGGTTCCTTTGATGGTTCCTTTGATGGTGCCTTAGGTGGTTCCTTTGATGGTTCCTTTGATGATTCCTTCGATAGTTCCTTCGATAGTTCCTTCAGTGGTTCCTTTGATGGTTCCTTTGATGGTTCCTTTGATGGTTCCTTCGGTGGTTCCTTTGGTGGTTCCTTTGGTGGTTCCTTTGATGGTTCCTTCGGTGGTTCCTTAGGTGGTTCCTTTGATGGTTCCTTCGGTGGTTCCTTTGGTGGTTCCTTTGGTGGTTCCTTTGATGGTTCCTTCGGTGGTTCCTTTGATGGTTCCTTCGGTGGTTCCTTAGGTGGTTCCTTTGATGGTTCCTTCGGTGGTTCCTTTGATGGTTCCTTCGGTGGTTCCTTAGGTGGTTCCTTTGATGGTTCCTTTGATGGTTCCTTTGGTGGTTCCTTCGGTGGTTCCTTCGGTGGTTCCTTTGGTGGTTTCTTCGATGGTTCCTTTGATGGTTCCTTTGATGGTTCCTTCGATGGTTCCTTTGAAGGTTCCTTTGATGGTTCCTTTGATGGTTCCTTCGGTGGTTTCTTTAATGGTTCCTTTGATGGTTCCTTCGGTGGTTCCTTTGAAGGTTCCTTTGATGGTTCCTTCGATAGTTCCTTTGATGGTTCCTTCGAAGGAACCTTCGATGATTCCTTCGAAGGAACCTTCGATGATTCCTTTGATGGTTCCTTCGTTGGTTCCTTTGATGGTTCCTTCGATGGTTCCTTAGGTGGTTCCTTTGATGGTTCCTTTGATGGTTCCTTCGAAGGAACCTTCGATGATTCCTTCGAAGGAACCTTCGATGATTCCTTTGATGGTTCCTTCGTTGGTTCCTTAGGTGGTTCCTTTGATGGTTCCTTTGATGGTTCCTTTGGTGGTTCCTTCGGTGGTTCCTTCGGTGGTTCCTTTGGTGGTTTCTTCGATGGTTCCTTTGATGGTTCCTTCGATGGTTCCTTTGAAGGTTCCTTTGATGGTTCCTTTGATGGTTCCTTCGGTGGTTTCTTTAATGGTTCCTTTGATGGTTCCTTCGGTGGTTCCTTTGAAGGTTCCTTTGATGGTTCCTTCGATAGTTCCTTTGATGGTTCCTTCGAAGGAACCTTCGATGATTCCTTCGAAGGAACCTTCGATGATTCCTTTGATGGTTCCTTCGTTGGTTCCTTTGATGGTTCCTTAGGTGGTTCCTTTGATGGTTCCTTTGATGGTTCCTTCGAAGGAACCTTCGATGATTCCTTCGAAGGAACCTTCGATGATTCCTTTGATGGTTCCTTCGTTGGTTCCTTTGATGGTTCCTTCGGTGGTTCCTTTGATGGTTCCTTCGTTGGTTCCTTCGGTGGTTCCTTCGATGGTTCCTTTGATGGTTCCTTAGGTGGTTCCTTAGGTGGTTCCTTTGATGGTTCCTTTGATGGTTCCTTCGAAGGAACCTTTGATGGTTCCTTCGTTGGTTCCTTAGGTGGTTCCTTCGGTGGTTCCTTTGGTGGTTCCTTTGGTGGTTCCTTTGGTGGTTCCTTTGGTGGTTCCTTCGGTGGTTCCTTCGGTGGTTCCTTCGGTGGTTCCTTCGGTGGTTCCTTCGGTGGTTCCTTTGATGGTTCCTTTGATGGTTCCTTTGATGGTTCCTTCGATGGTTCCTTCGGTGGTTCCTTCGATGGTTCCTTTGATGGTTCCTTCGATGGTTCCTTTGAAGGTTCCTTTGATGGTTCCTTTGATGGTTCCTTCGGTGGTTTCTTTAATGGTTCCTTTGATGGTTCCTTCGGTGGTTCCTTTGAAGGTTCCTTTGATGGTTCCTTCGATAGTTCCTTTGATGGTTCCTTCGAAGGAACCTTCGATGATTCCTTCGAAGGAACCTTCGATGATTCCTTTGATGGTTCCTTCGTTGGTTCCTTTGATGGTTCCTTCGGTGGTTCCTTTGATGGTTCCTTAGGTGGTTCCTTTGATGGTTCCTTTGATGGTGCCTTAGGTGGTTCCTTTGATGGTTCCTTCGAAGGAACCTTTGATGGTTCCTTCGTTGGTTCCTTTGATGGTTCCTTCGGTGGTTCCTTTGATGGTTCCTTCGGTGGTTCCTTAGGTGGTTCCTTTGATGGTTCCTTCGATGGTTCCTTTGATGGTGCCTTAGGTGGTTCCTTTGATGGTTCCTTTGATGGTTCCTTAGGTGGTTCCTTTGATGGTTCCTTTGAAGGTAAGTAAGCTTTTTTTTAGTAAGTAAGCTTTTATTTATATACCGCCTTTTCACTGCACATCGGAGTCTCAAAGCGGTTTACAATTGTTATTTTTTTGGGAGTGGGGGTGCCAGTACAGGAGGCACATGCCATACCTATTGTACATATTTTTTGTGGTAGGGGAAACCGGAGCACCCGGAGGAAACCTACGAAGACACGGGGAGAACATGCAAACTCCACTCAGAAAGGCCCTGGTCCAACCGGGATTTGAACCCAGGACCTTCTTGCTGAGAGGCGAGAGTGCTATCCACTCAGCCACCGTGCCGCCCAGGTTCCTTTGAAGGTTCCTTTGATAGTTCCTTTGATGGTTCCTTCGAAGGTTCCTTTGATGGTTCCTTTGGTGGTTCCTTCGGTGGTTCCTTCGATGGTTCCTTCGATGGTTCCTTCGATGGTTCTTTCGGTGGTTCCTTCGGTGGTTCCTTTGATGGTTCCTTCGGTGGTTCCTTAGGTGGTTCCTTTGATGGTTCCTTTGATGGTTCCTTCGTTGGTTCCTTTGATGGTTCCTTCGGTGGTTCCTTTGATGGTTCCTTCGGTGGTTCCTTAGGTGGTTCCTTTGATGGTTCCTTTGATGGTGCCTTAGGTGGTTCCTTTGATGGTTCCTTAGGTGGTTCCTTTGATGGTTCCTTTGAAGGTTCCTTTGAAGGTTCCTTTGATAGTTCCTTTGATAGTTCCTTTGATGGTTCCTTTGGTGGTTCCTTCGAAGGTTCCTTTGATGGTTCCTTAGGTGGTTCCTTTGATGGCTCCTTAGGTGGTTCCTTTGATGGTTCCTTTGAAGGTTCCTTTGATGGTTCCTTCGGTGGTTCCTTCGATGGTTCCTTCGGTGGCTCCTTTGATGGTTCCTTTGATGGTTCCTTTGATGGTTCCTTTGATGGTTCCTTTGATGGTTCCTTCAATGGTTCCTTCGGTGGTTCCTTTGATGGTTCCTTTGATGGTTCCTTCGATAGTTCCTTTGATGGTTCCTTCGTTGGTTCCTTTGATGGTTCCTTTGGTGGTTCCTTTGATGGTTCCTTAGGTGGTTCCTTTGATGGTTCCTTTGATGGTGCCTTAGGTGGTTCCTTTGATGGTTCCTTCGAAGGAACCTTTGATGGTTCCTTCGTTGGTTCCTTTGATGGTTCCTTCGGTGGTTCCTTTGATGGTTCCTTCGGTGGTTCCTTAGGTGGTTCCTTTGATGGTTCCTTCGATGGTTCCTTTGATGGTGCCTTAGGTGGTTCCTTTGATGGTTCCTTTGATGGTTCCTTAGGTGGTTCCTTTGAAGGTTCCTTTGAAGGTTCCTTTGATAGTTCCTTTGATGGTTCCTTCGAAGGTTCCTTTGATGGTTCCTTTGATGGTTCCTTCGGTGGTTCCTTCGATGGTTCCTTTGATGGTGCCTTAGGTGGTTCCTTTGATGGTTCCTTCGGTGGTTCCTTCGGTGGTTCCTTCGGTGGTTCCTTTGATGGTTCCTTCGGTGGTTCCTTTGGTGGTTCCTTTGATGGTTCCTTTGAAGGTTCCTTTGATGGTTCCTTTGATGGTTCCTTCGGTGGTTCCTTCGATGGTTCCTTTGATGGTTCCTTTGATGGTTCCTTAGGTGGTTCCTTAGGTGGTTCCTTAGGTGGTTCCTTTGGTGGCCTCCCCAGCCTCTGGCATGGTCTTCTCCTCGCGTGTTTGAGCTACAGAAGATTCCTGGCGCCGGGCCGAGGCGATGCCGTCCAGCGCATGGTTATCAAACGGACAAATGTAAACAACCAGTGTGGTAAGGGCTGTTTTCTTTGAAACTGTCAAAAGAACCCCGTATTTTATCTCTCCGCGCAAAACTAAAAGCCCCATTTTCACCCAGCGAGAGGCCTTGGCTGTCCTGTTCTCAGAGTTAAATGGTTCCTGTCTTCATGTTACAGATGTTATTTTAACTAGCTTGACTTCGACTAGTGGATTTACTAGTGAATGTTAAGAGATGGTTCCTGGTTTTCCTGTTTCAGAAGAGTTAATGTTGTATTAACTAGCTTGACTTCGACTAGTAGATTTACTTTGACTAGTGAATGTTAAGAGATGGTTCCTGGTTTTCCTGTTTCAGAAGAGTTAATGTCGTATTAACTAGCTTGACTTCGACTAGTAGATTTACTTTGACTAGTGAAGCAAAGGAAGGTTTCTCACCCATCATCTGTACTTCTTAGCAAGTTTTCCCGACGTTTCGTCCTCAACCTGGGGACTTCTTCAGGGAATGAATTCTCGGACCGCGCGTTGGAGATTTATAACCTATGGGTGTGGTAAACCACACCCTAATCCTGATACTAACTCGTAACCAATCTCAGGTCTGCTTGATGTAGAAGGGGAGCAGGTCTAACGACCCTGCTGAGGCTAACGACCCTAACTCATTAGCATGTCACAGACCTATTGTCTGCTGGGATGCTCAAGTGGAGTGCAGGTTTCACCCCTCCTAACTCATTAGCATGTCACTGACCTTGTCCCAAGTTAGGGCGTTGTTTTTAGGATGTCGTCATAGATGCGAGGCAAAACAAATCTTAACCCTCCTCCTCTGTTAAGAGAAGGTTTTTGTTTCCTCACAAAAATGGCTTCTTTCACCCCTCTCTCAAACCAATTCTTCTCCCGAGCCAGAATTTTAACCTCTGTGTCATCCACCGTGTGGTTGGAGGCCTTGAGGTGGAGATGAACAGCCGACTGTGGCCCACTAGAGTTTTCTCTACGATGTTGGTAAAGTCGTTTCTGTAGAGTTTGTTTGGTTTCTCCAATATAGTGGTCAGTGCACTCCTCTTCACTACATTTAATTGAATACACCACATTGCTCTGTTTGTGTCTGGGTGTTTTGTCTTTGGGATGCACTAATTTCTGTCTTAACGTGTTGAAAGGTTTGAAATACACAGGGATTTTGTGTTGCCTAAAGATTCTTTGTAGTTTCTCTGAAACTCCCGCCACATACGGTAAGGACACCCCTCTCCTCCTACTTTCTTCTGTCTGTTGGACCGTGTCTCTGGCCTTTCTCGTCCTTTGGGCTTTAGTAAAAGACCACTTGGGGTAGCCACATCTGGAAAGTGCTCTCTGAACATGTTTGGTTTCTCTGTTCTTTCCCTCCGAGCTAGCTCGGAGAGCACTTTCCAGCACTTTAACCATACACACATTACAAACACATACAGAGCCCAGAACCAGTACAGTCCTGGGCGACACAGACTGGTATGAACCAGTACAGTCCTGGGCGACACAGACTGGTATGAAAGTGACATGAGATGTGTGAAGCGAGCCAGGAGTGATAAGACTTGAACTGGAGTGACCGAGAATGACTGTGAGAGTGACTGATAAACAAAGAAATACAAGTCTGTGTGGAGAGCGAATGGAAAGTCAGAATGAGAGCATGAATGTATGTAAGAGACCCAATCGAACCACCTGAATACTCTATCAAGAGGCGTATAGGCGCGACGACACACACACACACACACACACACACACATGCACGCAAACACGCACACGCAATCTATCAAAGGGCAAGTTACTGCCGTATCTTTTTTTTCTATTTTCACATAGATAACCCTGGGATCGTGGATGCTTCTGAGCCGGTCAGATGTGTGGACCCCGACCTAGACCCTGGACGTGTGACTAAACGTCCCCAAACCTCCGACTCTGATGGAGGACAATGATATGGAGGGTAAGACAAACCCCTTCCTGAACCAGAACCCTCGTCAGTTACCCACAAAGCCCAACATGGACAAGTCTGGTGCCCCAAACAGTCATGAAAGCCAAGAACTCTGTCCCCGGCCCCCTGTGCCCAAACCAGCCAAGAACTCTGTCCCCGGCCCCCTGTGCCCAAACCAGTCAAGAACTCTGTCCCCCCTCCGCCCATCACCCGCCCTGATACAGGTGGGACCACAGGCTTCTATCCCTGCAGAGAATGGGAACACAGGCTTCTATCCCTGTGTAGAGAGAGGACCACAGGCTTCTATCCCTGTGAAGAGATAGGGCAGTTCACAAGAAACTTTCCCACTGACAAGGGAAGCCCCGCCCACAGCAGCAGTCAAAGAGTGGACAGAGACAAAGCAGTAACTGGTTCTGACAAAATGGCCCCAGGCCCACCACGTTTCCGGACAGTTCCACAGGAACCAGCATGAACGATATGGGACTGACTGACTGGAGGACGAGGGTCTGGGAGGGTCCCACGGACGATCTGGACGAGGCAGACCATGGTCCGGGTATCGTAAACAAAACATGACTCAAACACACATCTACACATGTCCAGAAGTCAGGACAACACAAACACAAGCACTCATTTGGGGATGGATGTGATCATTGCCGTATGCACAAATTTAGACTATTCTAAAGTTTAGAGTAAATAGAGTGGGGGATAGGTTACTTTAATCAATTCCGTGGGCCACATACTCCTTGATTAAGGACTTTATTTATTACATAACGTCCCCGAATGGGTGAAGGACACATTCTTTTCTTTAGAGGCAAAACATGACAAAGGAATTTTTCATAAATCCATTGAAATGTTCTGAATAATCTGAAGGTTGTGGGTTAAACAGAGTTTCTGTGTTTTTCAAGTTGCCCAGTTGTTTTCCACAGCCGAGACTAAATCTGTGGTCTGTGTGTAAAAATAAGAAATAAAATGGTAAAAATCCCTTGTAGTATAATAGTATAATAGTATTCTGACAGAAGTAGTCTGTCTATAATGTATTTGAATGTAAATTGTCACCAAATCCCACAATCAATTTAGTAAATGTAATGTTTTAGTCAGACGACCTGAGGTTTCATAACTTTGGAAATATGCATTGCTCGATTGTGATGTAGAAAACAGAGTTTGGTGTGAATGTAACTGGTCTGAGAGAGAGCGAGAGAGAGAATGGTATGAGAGAGATAAGGACAATAATGACCCACAGCACACACACAACATTACACATTGTTTCTGTTAGAGCCTAGAGCCGCAGAGTGGGAGGGGCTTGTAGTTTTGGGAACAGAAGTGTGAAAGTGTGTGATTGGCATAAAACAGCTGAAAAGACATTTCCAGCCAAAACATAGAGACGTGGAGAGTTCGACTTCTACGTCACAGAGAGACAGTGCCAGACGTCAGAGCGACTGCTCTGAAAATGAGGCGTGTTAAATAACTCTGGCAGAGGCTGGAGTAATCATTGCAGAGGCGCAAACAAAGCCATTATGGCAATAAACAAAATAAACCAGCAGCAAAATAGGTCCAAATCGTTTATCTATTTTCCTCATGAGGACTCCAAAAATGTTTAAAGCCAAGTACTTTTTTTTTTTGTAGTGATAGACTTGGCAAATGTATATTTTTGTAATACTAAGGTTTTATATTTTTCCTTCAATAGGTGCACGAAGGCCAAAGGGGGACCCCAGTTTTTTTTTTTTTTTTTTTTTTATGAGTATAACCCATGAGTAAAGTTATATGGAGACCATTATTATTATTATAATATAGACTGAGGCTAAGCCCTGGCAGCGCAGACCCAGAGGACAGGCTAGGGAGGGGGCAAATAACCCTTTTGCCAAAACATTGTTTCAGAAACGTGACCAAGCCCTCCATAAGGATGGATCACATCTCCAAGAGGGAGACACAGAGCGCCATCACGCCTTGGCCACGAGGGTCGAGCCAGAGGAGGGGTCTGAGTCCGGCGAATGCCAGGAGGAGCCCTAACCAAAAGTGCCGGGGGCACCCCACCGCGAGGGTCGACGCCCCATCATGGGTCCAGCCCACCGCAGGTGGACCCCAGCTGCCCAGAGCCAAAGGGGACCAACGAGACGGGTCTGAGGACTTTCTCCAACGCAAGGTGCAGCGAAGAAGTGGGGGCGGCAGTGCCCGACTTCCAACGCAGAAGTGGAGCCGAAGCAGGAAGGCTTGCTCCCCAACGGCCGAAGGAAGGGACCACCTTGAGGGTCCCCACGACAAAACTTGGTCTGCCTTCTGACCAGGTGTTACACAGACAGAAGCTCTGAGCCATGGGTCAGGTACATTGTTCCCCGCTTTTTCACGCAGTGGAGTCAGAGACTGGGACAATCGGCTGGTCTGACCTGGAGGCCGGGACGCCCACCCCGAGGATGGGGGTGGACTGAGAGAGGCTATCTCAGCATTGCGTCAAAACGGGCTTTTGAAACTGTTCTGTGTACGTTTCAGGATTAGCATAACTTAGCATTGGTTTGTGGTACACATACATGCTAGGGTTTTCAAGCATTGACAATCAGGGCACTAACTCTGATGCTCCCACCCACTCTGACCCCATGTGGAAAGCACAGGAGGTCAGAAAAGTGTGAGGCATCCATGTTTAAGGTTAAGTGTTACAGATCTAATGACAAAGCATTAGACCCAATAGATTGGCTTGGACTTGGAACCATCTTTGGACCAGGTCTATTTTAAATCCACATACTCAGGTTCTACTCTCAGGGAGAGAGAGAGTGCACCCAGCACTACTGGAGTGTCTACTGTGCGGGCACAGCGTCGATTCTGGGAGAGGTGAGGGTCGGCTGATGACCCATCGGGTCCAGTAACGCCTCGTCTCCCCTGGGCAGACGTCTGTGACCCAGTCAGGTGATTCATCTAAGTAAGTATATAAGTGTGGGTTTTAATATTGTAATAAAGTTAGTTAACTATTGTGTGTGTTGGCTCAAATGTTCAGATTATATGTTGATTCATAATCATTGTGATTTCTATTATTATTTTAAGTTGATTAAGATAAACCAAGGTTTTATATTTATCAAGAGATAGGATTGTTATAGAAATATTTTAGTGAAGCAACCTGAATTAACACCAAATAGTTATGAGTGTAAGTTATTAACTAATAGTCAACTCCGGATTCAGATACAGGCCATAATGCTCTGTTGGCTGGCAGGTCAGTGATAGATGAAGACGTGCTGCATCATGTCTTTGACCTGGGTCATAGAACAATATGTTCAGTTCAAAAGCAGATTGTTACATATATCAGAGTTGTATCAGCGTTTGGACGTGTAAAGAGAAGCCTTGAGCAACACATATCAATGTTGACTTCATTTATGTAATATCTAGAGTAGATATGTGTTTGTTTACTCTGGTCTATTTAATGTACAGTCATTTCCTCAATCGGGGCAGTCGATTTCGGACGGCTGCCCGGTGGTATTGGTATCGGTTCTGTTATTCATTGTAATTGTGCACATTTACTAATGAATAAACTCACACTTTGTTTGGAATTACAGCTCTGGGTTGTTTACATTATTTTACTCTTGTTATGTGCAGAAATTCCACAACAGTTCCTTTGATGGTTCCTTCGGTGGTTCCTTAGGCGGTTCCTTTGATGGTTCCTTTGATGGTTCCTTTGATGGTTCCTTTGATGGTTCTTTCGGTTGTTCCTTAGGTGGTTCCTTTGATGGTTCCTTTGATGGTTCCTTTGATGGTTCCTTCGGTGGTTCCTTCGGTGGTTCCTTTGATGGTTCCTTTGATGGTTCCTTTGAAGGTTCCTTTGATGGTTCCTTTGATGGTTCCTTCGGTGGTTCCTTCGGTGGTTCCTTCGATGGTTCCTTCGATGGTTCCTTCGGTGGTTCCTTAGGTGGTTCCTTTGATGGTTCCTTTGATGGTTCCTTTGATGGTTCCTTCGGTTGTTCCTTCGGTGGTTCCTTTGATGGTTCCTTTGATGGTTCCTTCGGTGGTTCCTTTGATGGTTCCTTTGGTGGTTCCTTTGGTGGTTCCTTTGATGGTACCTTTGATGGTTCCTTTGATGTTCCTTTGGTGGTTCCTTTGATGGTTCCTTCGATAGTTCCTTCGGTGGTTCCTTTTATGGTTCCTTTGATGGTTCCTTTGATTGTTCCTTCGGTGGTTCCTTTGATGGTTCCTTCGGTGGTTCCTTCGGTGGTTCCTTTGATGGTTCCTTTGATGGTTCCTTCGGTGGTTCCTTTGATGGTTCCTTCGATGGTTCCTTTGATGGTTCCTTCGGTGGTTCCTTTGATGGTTCCTTCGATGGTTCCTTTGATGGTTCCTTCGGTGGTTCCTTTGATGGTTCCTTTGGTGGTTCCTTTGATGGTACCTTTGATGGTTCCTTTGATGTTCCTTTGGTGGTTCCTTTGATGGTTCCTTCGATAGTTCCTTCGGTGGTTCCTTTTATGGTTCCTTTGATGGTTCCTTAGGTGGTTCCTTTGATGGTTCCTTCGGTGGTTCCTTTGATGGTTCCTTTGATGGTTCCTTCGGTGGTTCCTTCGGTGGTTCCTTCGGTGGTTCCTTTGATGGTTCCTTTGATGGTTCCTTCGGTGGTTCCTTTGATGGTTCCTTTGGTGGTTCCTTTGGTGGTTCCTTAGGTGGTTCCTTAGGTGGTTCCTTTGATGGTACCTTTGATGGTTCCTTTGATGTTCCTTTGGTGGTTCCTTTGATGGTTCCTTCGATAGTTCCTTCGGTGGTTCCTTTTATGGTTCCTTTGATTGTTCCTTCGGTGGTTCCTTTGATGGTTCCTTCGGTGGTTCCTTAGGTGGTTCCTTTGATGGTTCCTTTGATGGTTCCTTTGATGGTTCCTTCGGTGGTTCCTTTGATGGTTCCTTCGGTGGTTCCTTTGATGGTTCCTTTGATGGTTCCTTTGATGGTTCCTTTGATGGTTTTGCACCACAGAATCTGCAGCAGTTTTCTTCCTGTGAGTCGTCCTCATCGGTGAAAATAGACATTGTGCCAGAACAATGTGCTCGATCCAACAAGTTCAGCAGTTTCTTTCAGCGAGCGAGATTTAAATCATCTACAATTTCAATATCATCAGAAAACTCCATGTCACTTATAACTATTCTGTCACTTCCAACTTTAACAGAGTGAGTGTTTAATCACCCAATCAAAAAAATATCAAGGGACTGAGGAGGCATCCTTGTTCCACACCCTTCATCAGTGGGAACTCGTTACTTAATGAGTTCTTCCATCTGACTGTAGCCTTTGGTCTTTCATGTTCTTCATCAGATCCTTGCAGTCCTTTGGGGGTCCATATGCAGAGAGTATCCTGAACACTTGGTCTCTTCAGACTCAATCCAAAGTCTGTCTGGAGTCAGTGTAGCCGCAGAACAAAGGCGACTGGAAACACTACATGTTTCTATGAGTTGGTTCAAGACACACAGCGGGTCAGTAGAGGATCTTTGATTTTCTCTCAGATGGTTGTTAATATTTTTAAGAACTATTTTTTGGATTATTATTAACATTGTTTTACCTACTACTTTACTAATTACTACAACCACTGACAGATCCTTTCCTTTTATAAACTGGTATAATGATAGATTTCAGTCTGCCGCCACGACTTTTTGGCGCCAAACCTCTACAGATTAAAAGTAGAGACGTTGCTACTACTGCTGCTACTACTACTACTACTGCTACTACTAATGCTACTACTACTACTACTACTACTACTACTGCTACTACTACTGCTGCTGCTGCTACTGCTACTGCTACTGGCACTGCTGCTGCTACTGCTGCTACTGCTACTACTACTACTGCTACTACTACTGCTACTGCTACTACTACTACTGCTACTGCTACTACTACTGCTACTGCTACTACTACTACTGCTGCTACTGCTGCTACTGCTGCTACTTCTACTACATGTATTTTAAATGTAACATAGAACAACTCTTGTTCTCCATTCACTTTTGCCTCCATTGTGACGTCTGCTCCTGTCTGTGTTTAATTCACTGCTTTGAACTTAGATCCATAAATTAGCATTATTATACATGTAGCATAAAAAGTAATGATTCCAAAAGCCTGTCAGAGGAGACTGTGGTTAGGGATTTCTCTGCAAAGAACATGTTTTTATATCTGCAGTAAGAGTCACACTTCCACTTTAACTGCATTATCAAGGACTGTCCGCCAGAGGGCGCCAAGGTAGATCTCTGCAGGGACCCACCGTTGGAATCCCTGTACTTTTGTGTTTTGTTTTGTGTTTTTGTCCTCACTGTTGTTTATACATGTGCTATCTTTGAAAAGTTCTCATTGGTGTTATGGAGGCCTGTTACAGCAGCTGTGAAGCACTACAAAAAAGGAGACATTTCGAGGTAATAATCACTGGAATTCAGGTGTTTTTTTTCTCCCAAAGGAGAATCTGGTTTTAACGTCTAAAACTAAAATGGGACAAAGCCATTTCATCTTATTTTCAGAACTGTTGCTTCATTTTTTCATTTCAAGGGAGACATTTCTTGTATTTTTTAAAAACAAGATCATTTTGCTTTGTTTCATTTGAGAATCTTGTTTTAAACTAATCAGACTGTGCAAGATGCATTTGGCCAAATTTGAACCCTTTTCTAAATATTTTTCACCGCTTTTTGCAGTGTGTGTGTCTCAAAAAAACCTGGTAAAGGCTCAGCATAATAATATTTACAATCTATAACCCATGAACACAAAGTTTGTGAGTCAGCAGTGACTGAAGTGACTATTTAATTGAAATATATGCTCAAGATGATGACTTAACGACTTAACTTAAATAATATTACTGTGTCTGCATGGACTACTTCAAACTCATATTTTCTTACACATACAGTATGTTAGTATCTGGGGCCTGTCTGCGGCGGATCCTGGTTATAAAACATCGCTGTAAAAGTCTGCCTCATAAATAACTGGAGGATTGTGCTACTGAACTTTTTCTATGTAAACAAAAATCTATAATTTTTATAGATATTATAGAGTAATATCTATAAAAATAGATATTAAAGTTTCTGGCTTTAATAACCTGTGTGTGGTTTATGTATTTCTAAACAATCGAGAATTAAATGGTGTTTTTTATGCTTCAGTCTCTTCATCAGTTTGTTTTTATTTTAGGACAAAGATTAAGTTAAGATTGACTTTATATTTACAGCGAATCAAGTACAATGTTATAATAATAATGGTAGAACGTTCTATATTTGACACTTGATAAAAATAGTTTGATGGACATTGAACTTGAATTAAATAAACATTCAACTCGACTCCCAGAAATCTTGAAACTAGATTCAGATCCAGAAAACTTTTTTGGATTCTTTTGCATGAAATGGAGATGAAATGGATGTTAGAAGTCCTCTGTCTCTTTACATGGATCCAATAATATGTAAACATATAACAAAAACTCTCCCACTAGCCTCTTGTCTGCATCGATCCTCGCGCTGCTTGTGAATGGAGCCAAGTATGTGTGCGTGTGCCCGTGTGTGCGCGCGCCCGTGCGTGTACCGGATGCGCAACATCCGCTGTAACAACAAGCGCTGTGTTTGCCCCCGCCCTCCCTCTCCAGAAAGACACACACACACACACACACACACACACACACACACACACACACACACGCACACACACACACAAATAGACACCTACAGGCATACGTACAAACACGCACAAGTACACACATAAACACATGCGTACACGCACACACACAGTCAGACGCGTGCGCACGTACATACACACATATACGTTCAAGCACACGCAGTCACACACACACACACACACACGCGCGCGCACACGCCAAAACTCTGCTCGCGTCTGGTCCACGGAGCACGGGTAAACTTGGAGCCTTCGCTGTTTGTGTTTTTCTCGTGTTTTTGGAACTTTGTGGACGCAGACACGGGTCCAGGGCGCAGACACGGGTCCAGGGCGCGTGCGTAAAGAGCCAGATCTGTGTGTCGCTTTTCTCACGCTAAGGATTACTCTCTTTTGTGGGAGAAACACTTTGGGGCCACTCTGGGACCGCACGAACTGGACTGGATCGTTTGGGCACGTACCGAGTAGCGTGGATCACAGTGGATTACTTTCACGCCACACGGAGCACAACGCGTCGAAAAGCAACAGCACGGTGAGTGAGAGGGCTGCGGTGCGGATCTGCTGCTTCCGCGGAGGCGCTGAAAAGAAGTGGAAACGGAGGAGAAGTTTTGCCCAAGTTTTCTGCACCATCTTCAATTCAAACCAATTCAATGTTTTCTTGTATCGCCCTTAATCTTTTTTTTACTACAGAGGACTTTGCAAAACTGTTAATCTCCAACACAGGTCAGAGAATCAAACCGTTCATAGACTACATGGTATTGGACCATAGGGAGAGACCAATGTCCATAAATATCGTAGAATAGAGTGTCCTGGATCATCACCACAGTCCTTAAGTTAGAAAAACTCTAAAACCCAGTGGGAGAAAAGTGAGAAACCTCAGAGATCCACTTTGAGATATTCTTGAAGTCCCAGTCTGAGCAATGTTATTGGGAGGCCAGAGTATCATTCTATTACCACAACAACCAAAACAACCACAACAACCAAACATATACACGCTTTACGCACCCCGAGTTTATCCAAACGAATTACACATTCAATATTTTTCTGCTGTATTCTAAAGCAAGTAAGACCCGTGTGTGTTGTCGCTGTAGAAACTAAATATTGACCTAGTTTTTCTCCTTCGCTATATTTAGTCTAAAGTTTTATTGGAGGATTTCCCCAAATTTTAGGAAAGAACCGCCCTCTCCTTTTGAACAGAACTCTCTGGTCTCCTCTGACGAGCACGTATCACCAGATTGATTGACAACTGAGAGGACCGATAGTCTGGATGATCCACACGGAAGAAGAAATCCTCCTATATACCTTTTAAGATTAAGAGAGAGTTCTTTCGTCCCACACTGGGGCAATGTCAGTGTCTCTCTATCCACTCTGTACCGTTCCATGCCGTGCCTCACTTCACTCTATCCCCAAAGAGATCGTAAATGGTGTCAGAGTCCCTCAGACCTGGTGCTGCTCTGTCCCCCTGTCCCTGAACGCCTCCCTCTCCTCGCTGTCATTCATCTTCTTTTGTGTCTCCGTAAAGTGTGTTGGGACGGGGGGCGGCTGCAGGGGCCATTTGTCATGCGGCGCACAAAGGCCCTTGTCATGGGGAGGTCTGGGGAGGTCTGGGGGGGGGGGGGGGGGGGGGGGATTGTGGGGAGTGGGGATCGCACCCCCAACCTGCAGAGGTGCCATTTGAAAGCCAATTAGCTCGAGGAAGCAAGAGCCAGGCGGCGACTGACAGTTCTCTGCAACAGGATTAAATAATTAAGTTTGATTTTGTTTGAGTCTGATGTAATGTTGTGTGTTTAACTCGTGCCAATGAGTTTAGTTAATTAAGCTTTGTTCTTAAAAGTCTAGTTTATTAAAGTTTAGTGTGAAATTATAATCTGTTGGTTTGAACCTTAAACATAAATAACTGGACTTCCCGTTCGCCGCAGATCTGCACTTCCGGCTCGTCCGTACCGTGGTCCGTTAGGATTTGCATGGATTATTTGCATGTTTGTATGGAGTGTGTAGTGTATAAAGTCATGTTGTGTTTGCAGGACTTCAGATGTGTCCCATGCCAGCCACAGACGCCCTTCACTCCCAACATGGATCCCAGAGAGAGCCACAGCGATGGGGGAGACGGGGGAGGAGGTCCCTCTCCCGGGGAGTCCTCTGTGAGCCAGCAGCATGACCCTGAGGACCAAGATGTCCCAGACCTGGCCTCCATCAGCGTCATCAGGCAACAGCAGCAGACGCAGCAGCAACAGACGCTGCCGCAGCAGCCGCAACAGCCACCGCCACCACCGCCACGGCCGCAGCAGCAGCAGGTCTTGTCTCTGGAGCAGATCCAAGTGACCAACAGCAGTAATGAGTACACTGAGGGCCCCTCTGGGCCCGCAGGGCGCTCTGAGAGCCCGCAGCTGCAGAACCTACTGTTGTCTCAGTCTGAGGACGCTCCGAGCCCCTCTCCCACACAGAGGTCAGAGGTCGTACGAGCGCAGCCTAAAGGTGTAGAGGAGCTGAAGCCTCTGAGCACAGAGCACAGACACTGGGATCGGTACGAGCGCTGCCCCGACTGCTGCCCCGACTGCTGCCCCGACTGCTGCCCCGACTGCTGCCCCGACTGCTGCCCCGACGGCTGCCCCGACTGCTGCCCCGACTGCTGCCCCGACGGCTGCCCCGACTGCTGCCCCGATCAGAAAACGGTGGAGTACGTGACGTGCGTTTGCTGCGTCAAAGCTTTGTTCTATCACTGCTCCAGCGACGATGAGGAAACGTGTTCCGACAAACCCTTCTCCTGCGCGCCGCCGCACCGCTGCGTGCGCTGGAGCGTCGTGTCCCTGCTGACGCTGCTGTTCCCCTGCATGCTCTGCTACCTGCCCCTGCGGATCGCTGTCAACATATGTAAGGGCGACTACGGCGGAGCTGCATGGCCGCGCTGCTGTCGGACACGTCGAGCGGGACATGTCAAGCGGGACACGTAGAATATAAACTGTGACTAACTGTACTCGCTGTACAGTCTGACAGTTGTTTGTAAATATTATCCGATAATACTTTACTGTGAACCTTTGGACCACAGCAGCACCTTGAGAAATCCTCCTTTCTTTGAATCAGACGTGTTTCGTTACCTGTATCGTTGTGTTACAGAGACATTTTTATTAATAACATTTATTTTCTAATTCCAACATTGCTTAGTGTAAAATAAAGCCTATATTTATTTTAAGGTTTATTATTTTATAATGAAAATATTTATTTTAAGGCGACCTTGTGTTAGTGGAGACTTAGACCAATATATTAACGATTGAAATTAAACTTTAAAGTTGTACTGTGCCCGCCTGTGTGTTGTGCTTTTGTCTCCACGGTAACCACTTCCTGGCTCATTGTTCTCAATCTCCGTGTTGTTAATTGGGCCTCGGCACGGCATCCCGGAGCCTGTCATCATCTCTGTCCCGGCGGCGTTCAAGATGGCTCCTGCGTGTTTACAAAGCACAAACAAGGAAGCGTTGGCGAGCACATCTGGCTCTGCTCAGGACCCCAGGAATGCCTCGGTCTGCACACATCTGTCTGTGGCTTCCCAGAATGCACTCCTCTCCTGCTCCAACCATTCCCCCTTTAATCTATTACTACATATCGTTTGAAAGCCGCACGAGTTTCTCTACTGTGTGTTTACTTCTTTCTGTTTCATGAAAAGCTGGTTGAGAAATTCCTCAGTTTTGAATGTTCCCGCAGGCGAAACATAAGCCCTAGACACTTGTTGACAGAATACGGACGTGGTTGCGGCACGGTATGCATTCAGCCGCCGTGATTGACAGGCAGAGGTCCAACCTGCTCGCACTTGTATGAAGACCCGCCCCCTACACCCCCTTTCCTCCCCCTCAGGTTTTTACATTTAACAATCGATCTCTGCTCACGGGGAGGGAGAAGTAATGCAAGCTTGTCTTGTATTGTAGCATAATAAAGAAGACAAGTTCTAATACAGTATCTCATAACTACACACAATAGACATTTAAAAGCAAATATGTTTCGTAAAAATACATGTTACAGGAACTAAATCCAGGGGTCTAACCTGTGGCTCGGGAGGTACCAGTAGCGCGCCAGCCCGGTTCAGGTAGCTCCCCAAAGGATGTGATCATGACTAGATACATTTTGAGCCCTTATGTATATAAAGATTAATTGAATACGAAGTAATTATGAATCCTGCCCTTAGCTCATCTTATAGAGAGCTCTGTGCTTACGTGTGTTCTTTGTCAATCATGCCAATCCTCATTCCTCGAGCTGACCCAGGCTGAAAGAGCTAAGCCTGAATTGGACCGTGATGTATTCTGATAATGGACATTAAACTCTTTATCAATATACATAACTCAAAGAGTGCATTCCCTTCTCCAACACTATACTGGTTTGTGCGGGGAAACCCCATCTTCTGCGGACAAGAAGATACAACACCACACTTTTCTCTCTCTGATTTGAGATGCACACTCTATGACGACCCTCCCACATCTTGTCACTCGGACTGGACAGTTTCCCTCCCAACTTTGCGACCAATGGGCGCTTCCTTACCGTGCAGATCACTGGTAAACCCATCTTCTCTTGAAGCGGACAGCTCCATGGAATCTATAATAATCACTGGAAGGGTATTACTAGCTTGGAGCTGTCTCACCCATGGGCACAGGGGGCGCCCGTGTTACTGCAGACCAAATTCACGTGGGCCACCCAGAAAAAAGTCCTATAGAACTCAATGTAAATTAAAACAGCTCGACCTCAGCTGACTGAGAACCTTAAAACCTTCATAAAGGTCAGATTTTATGGGGATTTTAGTGTCCCTTGTCATCCTGAACTTTTTTTCTTCTTAAATCCTTCGGTTTTGTTTAAATCCACACTTTAGTGCCACAAACTCTGCTCCTTTCCTTCCCGCTCTGCCGCTGCTCTGATTAGCATCTCTAATTGGTCAGAGCACGGCCGAGCCCCTCTATGTCCGTGCATGTGACCCACACACACACGTTTGGCGCAACGCATCATGGGAAATGCTCCCCATGATGCGTTGCGCCAAAGTTGCATTGTGTCCACTGCGCAAAACCGGGAAGACCAGACGATTCCCAAATATAGGTGAGTTCAGCTAATCTCCCGGTCTTGTGAAGTCCCATGCGCTACTGAGCACAAGCCATTCATTTGAATTTGGCGCCATCTTGGATCACCGGGGCTTGGACTCCCCCCTGGACTGCCACCTTACCGTGGTGGGGGAGTTTTGAGTACTCGGATGATCCTGGGAGCTATGTTGTCTGGGCTTCATGCTCCTGGTAGGGTCTCCCATGGCAGACAGGTCTCAGACAAAGCGCAGTCCAAAACCCGTCATGGATAGCACTATAACAAGATCAGTGACGTCGCCCAGCATGCCGCAGCCGGGGCCCCACCCTGGAGCCAGGCCTGGAGTCAGGCCTGGGGTTGGGGCCGGGCTCGGCCGGGCTCAGCCCGAAGGGATGATGTGGGCAGGCCCTGTGAAACCACAGTGCTGCTGTGCGTTAGCGACAACTTTCGAGCTGGCCGAAAAGACCGTCCTCGGGCTCTGTGACAGCTAACAGTCCCAGTCATGGAGTCAGTTGACTATTTAGAACCAAACTTACACCCAAAACTATTGATTCTTAAAAAAACTCAGATATAAACAACATGGAAACCATCAATATCTCGCCTCAAATTGCATTAAAAGTGACATTTGTGTGCTTTATTTGTTGGTATTTAAACGTTTTACAAAACTCCGTGTTCGCCATCTTAGGATTGCTTCGGCTGCCGTGATAAGTACGCGCGCATGTTTGCATTACATCATAAACAGCTGAGGCAGATCATCTCGACGGCAGACCAACTCCACAGAACACCGGCAGCGGAGAAACAACTACAGAGCAGTTTGGAAACACGCAATACTCTTCTGTCTGGAGGGCCTACGGGAGATTCAACGAACTACAAGCCCCAGCCCCCCTCTGTGCTGACAACCACAAACTGGCTCACGACCTGAACCGGTTTTCAGCCGCTTTGACGCTGCCCCGGACTCCTCCCCCACCTCTAACTACTTTAACGATCCACCCATCAGCTCTGCCCGCACCCTGACAATAGCCTCAGAAGATTTCAAACGACTCTGACCATGTGTCTCCTGCCACTCTGAGACACTGCGCCAGTGAGCTAACTCCGGTCTTCACTGACATTTTCAACACCTCCCTGGAGTCTTGCCATGTCCGGCCTGCTTCAAATCCTCCATCATCGTCCGCCTCCCGAAGAAGCCCAGGATCACAGGACTTAATGACTACAGACCCGTGGCACTGACGTCTGTAGTCATGAAGTCATTTGAGCGCCTGGTCCTCTCCCATCTAAAGTCCTTCACCTCCCCCCTCCTGGACCCCCTGCAGTTCGCAGTGGAGATGACTATTTCGGTTCACAAGTCATTTTCCATTTACGTGTGAAGCACTAACTCGTCAGTTTTCATGATAAATCAATAAATTTGTATTTTTATCCAGGTTTTCAGGGTCAGTCTTTCACATGGAAGGGTTACCAGTGATGCCAAATAAATCCTTATAACACATCAAGGGGTACTCCAACCCCCATTAACCTTGTTGCACCCACCCAGATTCACTTACGTCACAGTACTTTTTCAAAACTTTTAACACCTCATCTATCACTGGATCATTTTTCATATTGTCACAATTTCCATCTTGGCAATGCCCACATGCACTGGTACATTCTAGTCTATCTATGCCTCCTGCAGGTACACTTTAGGGCAGGGGTCTCCACTCCAAACGCCACTCTGTAGGTTTATCTGCTGGTCTAATTTTCTTTACAGGAAAAATAGGTGTCTGCACTGGTGAGTCCTCACATGGGACAATAATGCCAGCCTCAAGAAATGATTCAAAAACAGGTGTAATTCCTTCTATGGCCTCCTGTCTCAAAGGATACTGACGCTGCCTCGTCTATAATCAGATTTAGCTTCAATACGAACAGGTGGACAGTTTTTGATCAAACCAACATCATGTTTACTTTTTGCCCACAGACTGTCCGGTACTTGTGACAACAAAGATGAAATCTCAAGCGGAGAAGTCAAAGAAGTCAGAGTCAAATTTGGTCCGTCATTGTTATCATATGAAGACGTCAAAAGCACTGAATTTAGCACATCAACTGTCTTCGTATGAGACATTTTATACGCGCAAACGGATTGTGAATAAAACACATTTTCTCCACGGTCACACGCCTGCCAGTCCTCTGCCAAAGTACATCTGCGTACAAAAAGGCCTAAGGTTTGCCATGCGTCGCTTTTGCTTTTGCAATTGAAATATGAGGACTTGAATTTTCAATACGATAGCATTGTTTTTGTGACTGGCTTAACTCTACTGAAACAGCACACTTGGACTCATCAAAGTACACGTCAGCAAGAATTAAGCAGCCATTTGTGCCCAGTTTAAACGTTTCTTCAAATTCACAATCAGGGCCATGGTGTAAAATGACACACACAATGCAAGTCCTCAGCTTTCAATATATCAGATTTTGGATTAAGAATGGAGAAACCACCCCCATTAAATGACTCGCGCTGGCAGTATGAAACCACCACTGATATACAGACATAGGACAATTTGTGTTTACTTTGACAAAATTAGTTGCGCACGCACCTCTGTCTATTTTAAGGCCTTCTGCTGTCGATGTGATCACAACTTCCCATTTTATCATTAAATCACGGCCTAACAAGTTTACAAGACAAAGGTCAGACATCAAAATGAATGTTTTGCTGTTGCTGGTTACGCTCGTTTGCCCAAGTGCATTTGATCGGAACAGAAAAAGATTCCGGTACCGTTTGTCCACTCGCACTTGTGGAAAAAACACTTCTGCCACTTAATTTGATTGAGAGCTCCTTTGTCTGAATCACACTGTGGGTTGCACCAGAGTCTACTAAAAAGTGTTATCGGTTTACCCTCAATTTCACAAACAATAGTTGGCATTTTTCTGTAAGCTT